AGGCAGAGCTTCGGCTCGGACTTTCCTGTTCTGCGTCTGCATTCGGACAGAGGCGGAGAGTTCTCCTCCGGCCTTCTGCGAGCCTACTGTCGGGCACGAGGCATCCGCCAGACCTTCACGCTTCCGGACTCTCCACAGCAGAATGGGATTGCTGAGCGCCGCATCGGCATTGTCATGGACGTCGCCCGTACGTCCATGGTGCATGCGGCTGCCCCCCATTTTCTGTGGCCGTTTGCGGTTCGGTACGCCGCGCATCAGATCAACCTTCAGCCCAGAGTCTCCCGACCGGAGACCTCCCCAGCTTTGCTGTGGACGGGGAAGGTTGGCGATGCGTCGGCGTTCCGTGTCTGGGGACCTCGGGCGTTTGTCCGCGACTTGTCTACGGACAAGCTGTCCCCTCGTGCTGCTCCCTGTGTCTTCCTTGGCTTCCCCACATACGCTCCCGGGTGGCAGTTTTACCACCCCTCCTCTCGTAGTGTTCTGTCCTCCCAGGACGTCACGTTCGACGAGTCAGTCCCCTTCTACCGCCTCTTCCCCTACCGCACTCCTTCCCTCCCCCCTCCGCCGGACTTCCTTGTGCCAGTTCCCCCCCCGGTAGACCCCCTCCCCCCTCAGGTTCCTGCCCCCTCAGGTGTGTCCCAGGTAGACGCAGTTGACCCGGTCGAGGTTACTGGTGACTCTGGTGCTGCTGTGGGTGCTGAGCCTGGGGGTGCTGACTCTGGGGGTGCTGTGCGCGGGGGTGCGGAGCCTGGAGGTGCTGCTACTGGGGGTGCTGAGCCTGGGGGTGCTGGGCCTGGGAGTACTACTGCGGAGGGTGCTGAGCCTGGGGGTGCTGAGCCGGGGGGTACGGTGCCTGGAGTTGCTGAGCTAGGGGGTGCTGGGTCTGGGGGTGCTGGGTCGGGAGCTGCTGAGCCTGGGGGTACTGAGTCTGGAGCTGCTGAGCCTGGGGGTGCTACGTCTGGAGCTGTTGAGCCTGGGGTTTCTCCTGCTGCTGCGTCTCGCCGGGAGCCCCTCTCTCCACAGGAGCTGCGCGAGTGGTTTGCTCGCCGCTGGAGGCGTGCTGCTGGAGCTGGAGCTTCTTCGACCGTCGAGGGTGCTGGTGCTGCCGGTCCCGGAGCTGCTGGGTCTGCGGGTACTCCTGGAGCAGGAGCTCCTGAGGGTGTTGGTGCTGAGACTACTGCTGTCTGTCCCGGCGGTGGTTCTGCTACTGGTGCTGCTGGAGGTCCTGCCGCTGGAGGTGTTGGTGGCGCTGGTGCTATCGCTGAGGGTGCTGGTGCTGTCCCTGCTGAGTCTGGAGTTGCCGCGCGGCCTCGGCCGTACTTCGTTCCGCTCCTGCAGCAGGTTCTTGGTCTTTCTCCTCCGGTAGAGTGTCCACAGCCTGTCCAGTCGCAGTCCCTGTTGGAGCCTTCCTCTCCACTGCCTGCTCCCTCTCCTTACACTGGTCCTACTGGAGGTCTTGCCGAGCGTCGTGAGCCTGCGTCTCGTCCTGCGTCGCCTGTTCGTGCTGCTCGCACTAGTGGTCGCGGTTCGCGTCAGCGTCCTCCTCCTGTCCCTGGCACGCACCGGATGTCTCTGCGTCCGTCCACTGCTCCTCTGCGTGCCCCTTTGCCTTCTCCTCCTGAGTCCTCTCTTCCTGCGCTTGCCGACCCTGAGTCGACTCTCTTCGTGCTGCCAGTCCTACTGTCACGCGTCTCCTTGCTACTGTCGTCACTGACCCCTCGTTTGAGTCCACTGCTGCGTCTGCCCTTGTCGCTGAGCTCGTCGACTTTGCTGCTCGCTGTCGTCTAGACTACGCTGCTAGTCTTGTTGCTGAGTCAGCGTCTGACTGTCCTCTGTCCGTCGGGGGTGACTGTGCTCTTGGCACGGACGTCCTAGAGGACAGGCAGGAGGAGTTACAGTGTCTGACGGCTGCTTCACCTCATCTCGCGTCTGTACTGCTTGCTCCTGAGGGAGACCCGGATGCACTAGACATCCCGACTCCGCGCTCTTACGCGGAGGCCGTAGAGGGTCCCTACTCCTCTCAGTGGCAGGCAGCTATGGATGCAGAGATGGCTTCCTGGAAGTCCACAGGCACCTACGTTGACGGAGTTCCCCCTCCTGGGGCGAACATCGTCAGTGGCATGTGGATCTTCAGGGTGAAGCGGCCGCCGGGCTCTCCACCTGTCTTCAAGGCGCGGTACGTTGCTCGTGGCTTCAGTCAGCGGCAGGGAGTTGACTACTTTCAGACCTTCTCTCCCACCCCGAAGATGACCACTCTTCGGGTGCTGCTGCACATAGCCGCTCAGCGCGACTACGAGCTTCACTCTCTCGACTTCAGCACTGCGTTCCTGCAGGGTAGCCTGCACGAGGAGATCTGGCTGCGCCGTCCACCTGGCTTCACTGGGACTTTCCCTCCTGGCACCCAGTGGAGCCTCCGTCGGCCAGTCTACGGTCTCCGCCAGGCACCGCGTGAGTGGCACGACACACTGAGGACTACGCTTGCGGCTCTTGGGTTTGCTCCTTCTACTGCTGACCCGTCGCTGTTTCTGCGCACCGACACTTCTCTGCCGCCGTTCTACATCCTCGTGTACGTCGACGACTTGGTCTTTGCCACAGCGGACACTGCTGGACTCGCCTACGTGAAGTCCGAGCTGCTGAAGAGACACACGTGCACAGACCTGGGTGAACTGCGCAGCTACCTTGGCTTGCAGATCACTCGGGACAGAGCACGCCGCACCATTACCTTGACTCAGTCACACATGGTGCAGCAGGTCCTTCAGCGCTTCGGCTTCACGTACTCCTCGCCTCAGGCCACTCCTCTGTCTACTCGCCAATCGCTCTCAGCTCTGCCTTCGGATGAGTCCGTAGAGTCGAGTGGCCCGTACCCAGAGCTTGTTGGCTGCCTCATGTACCTGATGACCTGCACACGACCTGACCTTGCATACCCTCTGAGCATTCTTGCACGCTATGTTGCTCCTGGGAGACACCGACCAGAGCACATGGCTGCAGCGAAGAGGGTGTTGCGCTACCTGTGCAGTACGTCGGGCATGGGGCTAGTGCTTGGAGGGCGGAGTCCAGTGGTCCTTACAGGGCACGCGGACGCTTCTTGGGCTGACGACCAGGCTACGCAGCGGTCGTCACAGGGTTACACCTTCAGTCTTGGTTCCGGCTCTGTCTCGTGGCGGGCTACTCGCTCGTCTTCGGTTCTCAGCTCCAGTTGTGAGGCTGAGATCTACGCTGGGGCCATGGCTGCACAGGAGCTTCGCTGGCTCACCTACCTGCTGATTGACCTTGGAGAGCTGCCTCGTTCTCCTCCGGTGCTGTACGTAGACAACCAGGCCATGCTGGCCTTGTGTCGAGAGCAGCGTCTGGAGCACAGAACGAAGCACATTGCTCTTCGCTACTTCCTTGCTCGTGAGCTGCAGCAGCGTGGACAGTTGCGGCTTGCGTACGTGGCCTCTGAGGCCAACACTGCTGATGTGTTCACCAAGGCACTCGCGTTTTGTGACCATCAGCGCCTCTGCACCCAGCTGGGTCTTGTGCCTGTCTTGCCTCACTTGCTCTCCTCTTGACTTTACTTGTACTGTGACATATATATACCTGCTCTTGCTTGTCTAGTTTTATATATATATGTCTGTACTCCTGCATGTGAACTGGCCTCTGGCCCTGCTCGTGTGCTCGGACTGTGTGGTGACGTTGTGATCCACCCTGAGCTTGCTCTGCTTTGCTTTACTTGACTGGTCTTGTGACCCCTTGTTCTCCCCCACTTTGCCTATGGGGGTGTGTCAGATTTATATGACATAGTTGCTGTAGGCTATAGTGGGGTAGCACATATGGGGTACAGGGTTTCTAGGGTTGTATTTGTACCCAATCTTTCCTTAGTCATTTCATTCCTGTTCACTTGTTTCACAACAACTCCAAGAAGTCCGCGAAAAGCCGCAGACGCAATTCGCAAAGAAACACCGACCTTAGGGTGCCTGGTACAAGACCAGCCCCTATCCTCGGGTCCGAGTTTGTAGAGAGAGGGATCAAGAATGACTTAGTCAAAATAACAAGAGTACCTTGAACATCGCGCAGCGTATCGTGCAGACCATCGACCGGATTAAGCTGAGAATTTCCTATATCGAAGCTCACTCCAAGAGCTTTAAAATAAGCCAAGTTGCCTCGCGAAAAGTTCTGCCATTACGAAGTTATGGCTCGGACAGCGTTTGCCTAGCGTTGGAGTGCTAGCGTACTAGCGTTGACTCGGGAAGCATTCCGCCGTCGCACCGCGTAGAAACGAAATTCCAGGAAGGGAGGAATTCGCTTGAATCAAATTGACTATATTCAGGTAGAAACAGAGAAGGAATTAATAGTTCTAGCTAGCAAGGACCTTGGGAATAAACCTGGGAACAACTAGGGATGATCCCAAATAATTCCAAGCAACAGAACCAACCTAGCTGGACAAAACAGCAGGTGGTAGGTTGGTAAACAGCCTCTGAATCTGTTTTTCCAACCTGGGAAAACAACAACCAGGTTCAGGTCCTAAAAAACAGAACCTGATTTGTCTTTGCCCAACCAGCCAAATGCTGGTTCCACTGGTTTCCCCTGGCCCTGTAGCAAGCAGATACAAACAAACAACATCCAACCTTCACCTAAATTGTACCCCTATAGTGCCTGCCCTGCTACACTATAGTCAACCAAACAAAACAGTACAAGTTCGAGTTGGATAGAACTGAATCTACACAATCAATTCAACCGAACCGCAAAGCTTCCATCTTGGGTTCCTTTGCGAGCTCGTCCTTTCTGCTTGTACTGTTCATAGGGCGTACAATGTTGTGCCGAAGCGCATAATGTGCGAGTACCTGCAAATGCTTCAAGCAAAAATTGCGAAAGCAAACGAACACACGAACATTCCATTCACACCCAAATGCATTTGCACACACATACTCATACAAATAGACGGCAGGATGTCGTGCAATGTGAATTTGCACCCAACACACTCCCCCTCAGCCTGCCGGCTGCATCCCCATCATTCCACACTAGTTCATGCTCATTCCACTCATCCGCACACAACGCCAATGAGGCTCATCCGCAAGCCTCTTGGTGAGGAAGTCTGCTGGCTGTTGGTGAGTCTTGATGTAGATCGGATTCACCGTCCCCCTCTTCACCTCCTTACGCAACCAGTGCCACTTGATACGCATGTGCTTGTTCAGCCCATGAAGCACAGCGTTCCTGGCCATCCCAAGAGCTCCCTTGCTATCACAAAACAGCGGCGCAGCAACCTTTTGCTCCTGGCCAATCTCCTCTAACCGCCTCCTCAGCCAAATCACCTCCTTCACCCCATGGAACATCGCCATGTACTCTGATTCCACAGAAGAGAGTGCTGTCTCCGTCTGCTTCTTTGACCTCCAACTAACAGGTCCTCCTCCAACTACGCAGATGTATCCTCCCACAGATGAGGAATCCTTCTTCTCAGAGGCCCACGTAGCATCGGTAAAGCAAGTGAGAAAGAGCTTGCCTTCTCCAAGCCTCTCCCCCTTCTCTTTCAGCACCTCAACCCCTTTCTGCTTCACCTGTGCAGATGCGGAGTATTGAACTCCAATGCTTGGGTGAGAGTTCAGATACTTCACCACACGCTCAGCTTCATCCACCTGCTCCTCTGATGGATTCTGCACCACCCTAGCCAGCTGCCCAACCGAGAAAGAGATGTCGGGCCTTGTGTGAACTGGTGCATACAAGAGGCTGCCCACCAAGGACTGAAATTGCTGCTGCTCCTCGGCTTCAACCCCTTCATCCTCTGCAGCTTTCACAAGCTTGAATTGTGCTGGCAGGGGAGTTGCAACTTTGTGTTCATTCTCAATTCCGTACTTCTCTCCCAGCTCCTTGATGAACTTCTCCTGGTGCAGCTTCAACCACCTGTGATCCTGATCCCTCTCCACATGCATCTCGAGATAGTACTTTACCTCCCCAAGGTTCTTGCACTTGAAGTTCTCCATCAGGTGCTGCTGCACCTTCTGGATCTCCTTCATGCTGCTACTAAAGAGAATAATATCGTCCACATAGACCAGAAACAGCACCAGCTTCTCCCCCTCCCCCTTGAGAAAGAGGCTCTCATCACAGCTGCTGGTCCTGAATCCCATCTCCTCTAAAATAGCTGCCAACTTCTGGTACCAGCAGCGTGGCGCCTGCTTCAAGCCGTAGATGGACTTTTTCAGCTTGTACACCCTGCCCGTACCATCCTCATACCCAGGCGGCTGCGTCATGTACACATCCTCTTCTAAAATCCCATTGAGGAATGCCGTAGATATATCCATCTTAATGATGAATTTCCCACTAACGGTTGCATCTGCCAACAAGACACGGAGGGTAGGGGGTTTGGCAGTGGGAGCAAAGATCTCATTGAAGTCCCGCTTCTCCTTCTGCATAAACCCCTTAGCCACCAGCCTACTCTTGTAGATGGTGACCTGTCCCTTGTCATCGGTCTTGATCCTTAGCACCCACTTGCACTGTACAGCTTTCTTCCCCTCAGGTAGCACCACCAGCTCCCATGTCCCATTCTCTAGCAGGCTCTGGTACTCAGCATCCCTAGAAACCAGCCACTTCTCCCTATCTGGTCCAGCTAATGCCTCCTCCATGCTAGCTGGTTCCTCTGGTGCAGGGGCAAGAAAACAGTAGGCAGGTTCATCCTCCTCATCCGGATCATAGCCATGCGGTAGAATCAGCAATGCCTCCTCTGTCCCAAGCTGCTGCTCTGCTACATCAGCTCCTGCAGTCAGCTTCTTAGTAGCCATACGGGTACGTCCTGGCCTGGAGATGGGTGTCTCCCATCCCCTCATAACAACACCCTTCGGCTTCTTAGTTTTTCCCTGCTGCTACTCTCCTCCCTCGGATCCAGCAGCTCCACTAGTGCTACCGCTAGTCTCCACACCATCACCTCCACCAGCAGGTGCCTCCTGCACCTTCTCTCCATCACCACCCTCTGCAGCTACCTCCTCTCCCTCCTCCCACACACTAGGAGTCATGTCCAGCTGCATGGTGATCTGCTCCATCTGCTGGGACACCCTGGCCTCCGGCTGTTTCTCCCAGCTCCCATACATCATGCCCTCAACAAACTTCACATCCTTGCTCTCAAACAACACACCCTTGGAAGGTATCCACAACAGCCATCCCTTGCTCTCAGCAGCCAGCCCCAAATGCACACACCAGATTGCACTTGCCCCCAACTTACTGCGGTAGGTCTTGGGGACGTGGGCGACTGCCATGCAACCGAACACCCTCAGCATGTCCACCGGCGGCTTCCTTCCAAGCCACCTCTCCAACGGCACCCACGAGTCATCCCCAACCTTTGTGAGTACCCTGTTCCTAGCGACGGTAGCGTGCCGAACAGCATGGGGCCACATCAAGTTGCCCAACCCAGATTCTATGAGCAGCGCCCTAGCTGTCTCCAGAATTGTCCGGTTCACCCGTTCTGCTACACCGTTAGACTGTGGGGTGTAAGCCGTGGTCAGCTCCCTCTGGATGCCCTGCTTCTTGAGCCAGGCCGTCATCTCAGCTCCAAGGAACTCACCACCCCGATCTGTCCTAATCCGCTTCACCACACACTCCGCTTGCTTCTCCACGAATGGCAGCCAATCTTACCGTATCGTAGGGGCGGCATGGTCCTTCTGCTTCAGCGGATATGCCCACATAAGCCTGCTCCAATCATCCACTATGGTCAGAAAGTACCGCTCCCCCTTGTGTCCCTGAACCGGCAGTGGCCCCACCAAGTCCATGTGGACCAGCTCCAACGGCTTCTTGCTCCTGCCAGCCACACTATGGAAGGGGAAACGGGTAAACTTTGAGAGCAACCAGATTTCACAATTCTCATCAGGTGGCTGTCCGTTCAGCTTCAGACCCTTAACGGCTCCATCTTTCTCCAACTGCTTCAACAAGGGCATTGCCACATGCCCCAAGCATCGGTGTGCCGTTGCCCAATCCGTCTCCCCAGATCTGGCCAACACTTTCACACCAACCCCTCCAACGGCATTGCACTCCCCCTGGGATGCAGACCCCTCTCCAGCCTGCCACCCACCATGCCACGCCAACGCCGGCAGCTGCCACATGGATCTGTACACGTCCGTGCTCTCATGCAGATCCCAAAGCACCCGATTTCCTAGCTACCCCTTGTAAGTGCGTGCCCCATCCGTGCTAGTGCTCACCCCAGCCTTGCCAAGCTTACGGAGGGAGATGAGGTTGGCCTTGAGTTCTGGAACGAGAAGAACGTCGTGCAGCACCACCGGCTTGCCATCCGCTCCCTTAAACGCAGCTCGTCCCGCACCAGCCACCTTCAGCGCGTGTCCAGAGGCGGAGCACACCTCGTTGATCGGTGCAGCGCGTACGTGGTCCAGCAGGTCCTTGCGCGGCGTCATCGTCCAAGCAGCGCCCGTGTCCAACACCCAATAATCCAGGGGGTGCAGCTCTGCTCCAACCTTGGCAAAGGCGTCTTCTTGCTCCCCCTGCTCCCCCTGTTCTCCAATATGGAAGAACTGGCCCACGGTGTGCTCCTTCTTCTTTTCCGCACCGCCGTTGCTCTTCGGGTTGTTGTCGGACGAATCGGCGACCATGCTCGCGCCGTTTTTCTGGTTCCTCCGCGCGCCGCCATCCTGGTGACAATTCTGGGGGGTCCATCCATCAGGTTTTTTATAGCACAAAAACCAGGGGTGCCCCTCCTTCTCACAATACCAGCAACTCCCTTTCATTTTGCCACCAGCACCCGACTTGCCCCCACGTCCAGATTTCGCACTGCGACCCCAACCGGTACCTCCTTGTTGGTCATTGGAGTCGTCGTCCTTCTTTGCACCGCGTCCAGCACCACCGAAGCCACGTCCTCTGCCACGTCGGCTTCCTTGCATCCCATAGCCGCTGCTGCCGTCGTCTTCACCCCTCAGTTGGCAGCGACGGATGTCCTCCTCCAGAATCTTTGTCCGCACCCACTCGAGTGTCCATGAGCTCTGGTTCTGCGGCAGGCTCAATCCGCTCGTGAATTGAAGCCACGATTCCGGCAGCAGCGAGAGCATCTTCAGGCACTTGGTCTGCTCTGGGTAGGTGATTCCCGCGGTCGCGAACTTCGCGTAGAGGTTGCGCAATTTGTCCACGACAGGTTGCACCGGCTCTCCCTCGCTCAGGCGCAACGCGGACAGCTCCCTCTCTAGCATCAACGTTGCAACAACGGAGGTCGGGGCGTGCAGCTCCTTCAACACGGTCCACGCCTTCGGACCGCACTCAACCTCCGGCAGCAGGTGCATGACGTGGTGACGCTGGTTCAGCTCCAAACTCTGCGACATCAAATAGTAGCCAGCTGAGGAGCGCTCGTCCCAATCTTCCTGCAGCGCGGGGTCACTTGGTCTAGGCTCCTCCCCAATCATTAGTTTCAGCAATCCAATCTGACGGAAATATAGTTGCATTTTCCAGGCCCAATCATCATAGCCCTCACCATTGAGCTTCTCGACGGTGAAATTCTTCAGCACCTCCTTGACCAGCGAGCCCTGGTTTGTTCGCGCTCCCCCTAGCGCTGAAACACCAGAATCATGGCTGCCACTACGATCTTGGGCTGAAGATTCACCAGCTCCCGTCGAGGTGTTGCCCGCCATAGCTACCTATATCGAGGATCACTATAACGCAGCTCTGATACCAGCTTGTTGGTGTAAGGGCCTAATAAACTCATGCTATTGAGACTTTATCAAACTTAAAACCTCTCCTCGGGGTCACCTCCAAGGGTCCTTGGGTGCCTGGTACAAACCAGCCCCTATCCTTGGGTCCGAGTTTGTAGAGAGAGGGATCAAGAATGACTTGTCAAAATAACAAGAGTACCTTGAATGTCGCGCAGCGTATCGTGCAGACCGTCGACCGGATTAAGGTGAGAATTTCCTATATCGAAGCTCACTCCAAGAGCTTTAAAATAAGCCAAGTTGCCTCGCGAAAAGTTCTGCCATTACGAAGTTATGGCTCGGACAGCGTTTGCCTAGCGTTGGAGTGCTAGCGTACTAGCGTTGACTCGGGAAGCATTCCGCCGTCGCACCGCGTAGAAACGAAATTCCAGGAAGGGAGGAATTCGCTTGAATCAAATTGACTATATTCAGGTAGAAACAGAGAAGGAATTAATAGTTCTAGCTAGCAAGGACCATGGGAATAAACCTGGGAACAACTAGGGATGATCCCAAATAATTCCAAGCAACAGAACCAACCTGGCTGGACAAAACAGCAGGTGGTAGGTTTGTAAAAAACCTCTGGTTCTGTTCTTCCAACCTGGGAAAACAACAACCAGGTTCAGGTCCTTAAAAACAGAACCTGATTTGTCTTTGCCCAACCAGCCAAATGCTGGTTCCACTGGTTTCCCCTGGCCCTGTAGCAAGCAGATACAGACAAACAACATCCAACCTTCACCTAAATTGTACCCCTATAGTGCCTGCCCTGCTACACTATAGTCAACCAAACAAAACAGTACAATTTTGAGTTGGATAGAACTGAATCTGCACAATCAATTCAACAGAACCGCAAAGCTTCCATCTTGGGTTCCTTTGCGAGCTCGTTCTTTCTGCTTATACTGTTCATAGCACGTACAATGTTGTGCCGAAGCGCATAATGCGCGAGTACCTGCAAATGCTTCAAGCGAAAATTGCGAAAGCAAACAAACACACGAACATTCCATTCACACCCAAATGCATTCGCACACGCGTACTCATACAAATAGACGGCAGGATGTTGTGCAATGTGAATTTGCACCCAACAACAGGTTCAAGTTGCGCGTGTCAAGAAGCACCTGAGCTCCGACTGCTACTGGGTGATCACGTCACTGGCGATCGGCATACTGCTTTTGGGAGTTATGCATCATGGTGAGACGTCGCTGAGTCTTCTCCCAAAGCTGTTGCATAGTGGTGACAAAGTCATGTGCGGCTTGGACGTGTGCCGGTGTGGTTGGCTGCTGTGGTGTGAGTGGTTCCCGTCTGTAACACAGGAAGAAAGGAGTTTTCCCTGTGGCCGCATGTGATGCGTTGTTGTAAGCAAACTCTAGGGTCGGTAACTGTGTGTCCCAGTGGCTGACATCGTCCTTGCAAGCTATGCGCAGAAATTGTTCAACCACCTGATTGAGTCGCTCGGTCTGTCCGTCAGTCTATAGGTGGTATGCTGAGGACATCGCAAGTTTAGTCCCCAACAGTCCCATGAGCTCCTTCCAGAACTTACTGGTGAATTTTGGGTCTCTGTCTGAGATAAGTGTAGGCGAGGATGCCGTGGATGGTGATGATGCGGTCGAAGAAGAGGCGAGCAGTTGCTTCAGCTGTAGCTGTGGCGTTGGTCGGTATGAAGTGACCCATTTTGGAGAACTTATCGATCACCACGAGGATGGAATCATGTCCCCGTGAGGTCGAAGAAAGTCCTGTGATGAAGTCGAGGCTAACGACCTGCCATGGCTGCTCCGGTACAGGTAGAGGCTGAAGTAACCCTGCTTTTTTCTGCTTGCTACTCTTCATCTGCTGGCACGTGTCGCAAGAGGTGACGAACCGCTGCACGTCTGCTGCCATCCCGAGCTAGTAGTAATACTTCGCTCTCCCTGCTAACGTCTTGTTGCTCCCGAAATGTCCCGCGTAAGGTACGTCGTGAAACTCCTCCAATAGGATCTGCCATAGTGGGGCGTAATTCGGTACCCAAATCTTTCCTAAACTCTTCCTTACCGCTAAGTCTTTCTCCCACTGTAACAGCTTCTTCGTCTGTGCTGTAGCAATCTCTGCGTCCACTGAGTACCCATGTTGGAATAGACCCTTGAGCAGAGGGTTCATCCCGTCGAGCTGGATGCCTGCTACATTTCGGGGGCGGCTCAATGCGTCTGCCTTGTTGTGTAGCCCGCGCTTGTAGACTATGTCGTAATGGAAGTGAGTTACCAAGAAGTCCATCCACCGCACCTGTCGTCGCGAGAGTGTCGGCTGTAACTTCAGGTATTTGAGACTGCAGTGGTTAGTATAGACTGTAGTCTTGGCTCCCTAAAGGTAACACCTCCACGCCTTGAAGGCTATGACTATCGCTAAGGCTTCCTTGTCATGGATGGGGTAGTTGAGTTCTGCTCCGTGTAGCTTCTTACTAAGGTAGGTGATGGGCTGCAAACCGCGTCCATGATCCTGCATCAGTACTGCTCCGACTGCTTGGTCACTAGCGTCTGCTTCCACCGTGTCTTCATTGTCTGGATCTGGTAGGATGAGTACTGGCGCTGTAGTCAGTGCTGTCTGTAGCTGCTCCATGGCTTGCTGATAAGGAGTATCCCATCTGTAGGGCGTATCCTTTTTCAGTAGGTCGGTTAGTGGCGCTGCTATCTTAGCGTACTGCGGCACGAACCTGTTGTAGTAGTTGGCGAAGCCTAGGAACTGCTGCAACTCCTTCACATTCTCAGGAACTTTCCACTTTTTAATGGCTTCGATCTTCCGCAGGTCCACGTGTACGCCCTCGGCACTCACCATGTGCCCGAGAAACTGCACTTTCTTCAGTGAGAAGTAGCTCTTCGACAGTTTCACGTAGAACATATTTTTCCGCAGGATCTCGAACACCTTCCGCAGATGCTCCACGTACACCTTCATGTTCTTGGAGTAGATGAGGATATCGTCCAGGTACACCACTACGCACTCGTCTAGCAGGGGCCATAGAATATGGTTCATTTCCGCCTAGAACGTCGCTGGTGCGTTGCAGAGTCCGAAGGGCATCGCCAAGTATTCGTAGGAGCCGTATCTTGTACGGAACGCCGTCTTGTGGGTCGAGTTGTCCACCATCTTGATCTGCCAGTAACCTGACCGTAGGTCCAGCTTCGAGAAGACTGTTGCACCACGCAGTTGGTCCAGTAAGTCGTGGATGCGCGGTATGGGGTACTTGTTTTTAACTGTCTGTTTGTTCAGTGCGCGGTAGTCGATGCACATCCGTAAACTGCCGTCTGGTTTTGGTGTGAAGAGAACTGGTGCTCCGTAGGGAGAGGTAGATGGGCGGATCAGTTGTCTGTCCAGTAGATACTCGATCTGCTGCCATGACCAGTGCTAGGTAACCCGTGTTACTCTCGTTTACCGTCTCTTTGAACTGCACCAGTGACGTTTCAGGAATGTCCCCTGTATCCGTCCAGCTTCGCAGTGCTATCCGCTTCCCGTTGTTGTAGATGCACACCTTGCTGTTGACCCAATCGATCTCGGGGTTGAACCGCTTGAGAAAATCTCGCCCCAAGATAAAATCTAACCCTTTGATGTTGGTGACTGGTAGCTTCGGCTTCCACCTCAACGCATCGATTTGCAGCTGCAGTGATGCTTTGCCGTGGATAGGAAGCTTCGTACCATCCACCATGGTTGCTGAAAACTGGGTCTCCTCCGCCTTCTCTCCAATTTTCTCCAATGTTCCGCGGTCACACACCGAGTGAGATGCACCGCTGTCCACCAGTGCCTGGAGGCGTCGCCCATTGCATAACACCTCGAGGAGTAGAGGTCCCTGCTGCGCTGAGTAGCCAAAGAGGGTCTCATTAATAGGATCATAGGGTACACCAAAGCGAATACCTTCCCTTTTTCCTATACCCGACTCAGCACTTTCCAACTTCCTGAGGGGAAGGAGGATTATTCCGAGGCTTGTATAAATTCTCCTCAGCCTGGATGTCTCCTCTAAGCCTTGGCAGCTGTGTAGGCTTCACCTGTGGGCAACGGGGAGCCTTAACACTGTGCTGCAGGGAGAGAATATTAACTCCACGGAACGCACGACCCTTTTCTACGCTCCGTAGTACTTTGCCCAACTTCTCAGGTACCTGAATAATTTCTAAAGGTTTTTTCTTGGCCTCTAAATCTCCCCTGAATTTTTCAAAGGATTGAAAACCACGAGAAGCAATATTTTTCGTTAGAGTATCTTTATAGGATACTTTTAACGAATTCTTACTTTCGTGGGTGTTCGGCTGGAGTTTCCCGGTCGGTGCAGAGTCCTTTTTCGCGGAGCCTCCATTCGCCTCGGCGATTTCCCCTGATGCCGGCCGGTCGTGACGTTTTATATTTGCGCCATCATTTTCTCCTTTTTTCACCCGCTCCGAAGTCGCCACGTCCTCGCCTTTTCCTGCTTTTCGGATCTTTACGCGATCGCCAGGTCGATCCGCGACTACTGGCGATTCCCGTTTTTTTACTTCGGGGGTGCTCCACTGTTACCGTCCCGGAGTGCCGCAAGTGCTTTCTTCATTTTGTAGCACGACAAAATCTGATGCCCTGCTGCACCGCAAAACTCGCATTTTGTCGGCTGCTGCTTCGCGTCGTATTTGTCGATATCCATCGGTTCGGCGAATGTGGGGGGTGCCGATCGCTCCGTGCCGAATGTACGGTTCGACGTGAAGCGTCGTGTTTCGGGTTGACCTCGAGCCAGCGCATCGTATCGCTCGGCAGCACGCACGATGTCATGATAGCTGTTATAATTCGCCGCAATCACGTGCCGCCGAATCTCCATTTTTAACCCTTCTGTGTATGCCAGGATTTTTTTGCCTTCGGTCAGGTCGGTGATGTGGTTGAACAGTAGCTCCATCTGCTGCGTGTACTGTGCTACACTACTGTATTGCTTATGTCGGTGTATCTGCTTCTGCGCCATGTATGTCGTATTAATC